CAAAAAGAAAATACGTACTATCATCATCATTCGACACTTTCACCTCACTCGTACATAATCACTGTCTTTACAGGGGCGCTACATACGACAATTTAGAAGTCCCTCCAAACTGTCAATATCCCAAACCCCTCCTTTAAAGTGCAGGTATTGTGCTTCCCATTTCCAGGACTCAAGTCCGGCTAACTGGTTTCCCTAAATCTCTTCACTAAATATGTACCCTGCTCACACTCCAACAGCTTGTCAGGTCCCAAAAACCATTCGTCTCCATTCACTCCTATTTAACAGGCTCACACACACTTGCTGGAAATCCCACAAAACCTCCTGTACCCCCTTCCCTCAAACCTTTTCGAGGACGACCCCTACCCCTCCTTCCTTCCCCTACAGATTTATACACTCTCCAAATCATTCTACTTTGATCTATTCTCTCTGAATGACCAAACCACCTCAACAACCCCTCTTCAACCCTCTGACTAATACTTTTAGTAACTCCACACCTAATTTCCACACTCGAATTCCCTGCATAATATTTACATCACACTTTGCCCTTAGACAGGACATCTCTACTGCCTCCAGCCACCACCTTGCTGCAACAGTTACAGCCCAAGCTTCGCACCCATATAAGAGTGTTGGTACCACTGTACTTTCATACATTCCCTTTTTTACCTCCATAGATAACATAAGAACATAAGAAAGAAGGAACACTGCAACAGGCCTACTGACCCATGCGGAGCAGGCCCATGTCCCACCCCCTCGGATTAGACCAATGACCCCCCCCCCCCCCCAGATTAGCCCAATGACCCACCCAGTATGGTCATCTCCACTCAAGGATGGAGCACTGCACCAGACCCAGCAGCACAAGCTAGTCAGGTCCAACTCACACCCACCCACGCCCACTCATGTATTTATCTAACCTATTTTTAAAACTACACAACATTTTAGCCCGAATAACTGTACTCGGGAGTTTGTTCCACTCATCCACAACTGTTACCAAACCAGTGCTTTCCTATATCCTTTCTGAATCTGAATTTTTCCAACTTGAAACCATTGCTGCGAGTCCTGTCTTGGCTGGAAATTTCAGCACGCTATTTTTTTTTTCTCCACAAATACTTCAACACACCACTTGCCTTGTTTCCTTCATGAATTCTATGGTTAACCTCATCCTTCATTAACCCATCTGCTGACAAGTCAACTCCCAAATATCTGAAAACATTCACTTCTTCCATACCCCCTCTCTCCAATGTGATATCCAGTTTTTATCTAAATCGTTTGATACCCCTCATCACCTTAAGCTTATCTACTTTCTACCTTTACACACCCAGACTCGTCCACTAACCTTTGCAACTTGTCTTTAGACTCTCCCATAAGCACAGTATAATCAGCAAAAAGTAACTGTGTCAACACCCATTTTGTATTTCATTCCCTATAATTTAATCCCACCCCTCTCCCCAACACCCTAGCATTTACTTCTTTAACAACTCCATCTATAAATAATTAAACAACCATGGTGACATTACACATCCCTGTCTAATACCTACTTTTACATAAGAACATAAGAAAGAAGGAACACTGCAGCAGGCCTGTTGGCTCATACTAGGCAGGTCCTTCACAATCCATCCCACTAAAAATATTTGCCTAACCCAATTTTCAGTGTTGCCCAAGAAATAAATTTTGATAATTCTATTTACCCTTGTGCAAGTCCCACTCAAATCCAGCCCCTTTCACTCATGTATTTATCCAACCTAAATTTGAAACTACTCAAGGTTTTAGCCTCGATAACCCAACTAGGCAGACTGTTCCATTCATCAACTACCCTATTTCCAAACCAGTACTTTCCTATATCCTTTCTAAATCTAAACTTGTCTAATTTGAATCCATTACTGCAGGTTCTGTCTTGGAGAGAGATCCTCAAGACCTTACTTAAATCACCGTTATTAATACCCATCTTCCACTTGTACACTTTGATCATGTTTTCCCTCATTCTTCTTCTAACAAGTGAATGTAATTTAAGGGTCTTCAATCTTCATAAGGAAGATTTCTAATGCTATTTATTAATTTAGTCATTCTACGCTGAATGTTTTCTAAGGAGCTTATGTCCATTCTGTAATATGGAGACCAGAACTGAGCTGCATAATCTAGGCGAGGCCTTACTAATGATATATAAAGCTGTAATATAACCTCTGGACTTCTGTTGCTTACACTTCTTGATATATGTATATCCCAGTAATCAGTTTGCCTTATTACGTACACTTAGGCATTGCTGTCTTGGTTTAAGGTTACTGCTTATCATAACCCCCAAGTCCTTTTTGCAATCTGTATGGCTAAGTTCTACATTATTTAACTTATAAGTACTAGGCTTATGGACACGCCTGAGCTTCAGAACCTTGCATTTATCTACATTGACCTGCATCTGAAACTTTTCTGACCAGATATTGAGTTTGTCTAAATCCTCCTGAAGTTCCCTGATATCTACGTTTGAATCAATTATCTTACCTATCAATGGTGAATTTGCTCATTTCACTAGTAATTCCCTCATCAAGATCATTGACATATATTATAAACAACAATGGGCCCAAGACTGATCCCTGTGGAATGCCACTTGTTACAGATCTCCACTCGGATTTAACCCCATTTATGCACACACACTGCTTCCTATTGGTGAGCCATGACTCGATCCATGAGAGCACTTTTCCCCCAATGCCATGAGCTGCCACTTTCTCTAACAGTCTTGGGTGAGGTACTCTATCAGAAGCCTTACTACAATCTAAGTAAACAGTATCAAATTCTTTGTCATGATCAACAGCCTCAAAAGCATTACTGAAGAAAGTTAATAAATTAGTTAGACTAGAATGGCCTCTCGTGAATCCATGCTGAGTATCGTTAATCGATTATGCTCATCCAGATGGCTACTTATAATCTCGGTTTTAATTGACTCTAGTAATTTGCCTACAATTGAGGTCAGGCTTATTGGGTGGTAAATTGACAGTAACGACTTGTCCCCTGCTTTAAAAGTAGGAATAACATTAGCCCTCTTCCACATATCAGACACTATACCTGTTTGAAGAGATAAATTAAAAATATTAGTTAATAGTTCACAGAGTTCCATTTTGCATTCCTTAAGAACCCTTGAAAAAAGCTCATCAGGACCTAGCGATTTATTTTGTTTCAGTCGGATTTATTTTGTTACCGGGAAGTAATCTTCCTCTTTCCTACACATCCTAACCTGAGCCTCACTATCCTCTTCAGAACCTCTTTACAGTATTTAGTAACTTCCTATTCCATATACTACTTGCAACATCTGCCACACTGCACCCCTATCCACTATCATATGCCTTTTCTAAATCCATAAATGCAATGAAAACTTTCGTACCTTTATCTAAATACTGTTCACATATATGCTTCAATGTAAACACTTGATCTACACATCCCCTACCCACTCTAAAGCCTCCTTGCTCATCCAAAATCCTACTCTCTGTCTTGCCTGTAATTCTTTTAATAATAACCCTACTGTACACTTTTCCTGGTATACTCGGTAAACTTATTCCCCTGTAATTTTTACAATCTCTTGTCCCCCTTCCCTTTATGTAAAGGAACTATACATGCTCTCTACCAATCCCTAGGTACCTTCCCCTCTTTCATACATTTATTAAACTAAAAATACCAACCACTCCAACACTATCCCCCCCTGCTTTTAACATTTGTCATGATCCTGTCAGTTCCAGCTGCTTTACCCCCTTTCATTCTACGTAATGCCTCTTACACCTCCCTCACGCTCACATCCTGCTCTTCTTCACTTCTAAAAGATGTTATACCTTTCTGGCCAGTGCATCAAACTATCGCTTACCTTTCTTCATCGACATTTAAAAGTTGCTCAGAATATTCCCGCCATCTACCCAGTACCTCCAGCTCCCCATCTACTGATTCCCCTACTCTGTTTTCAACTGACAAATCCATTCGTTCCCTAGGCTTTCTTAACTTGACTCATGAAATCGTAATGACACGATTGCAAGCAAACCATACCATGGGCGGGAATAGAACCTGCAATCAGAGAGTCTGGAGTTTTGAGACTCTATGATCATGGGTTCTATCCCCGCCTGTGGTATGGTTTGCCTTCTTGTTTATCTCACTCCAAAATTTTTTTTTATTTTCATCAAAATTTCATGACTGCTTTTATTATTATTTTTTTATTTAGTAATATGGTTAAGAAAATATTTAAAAGTATTTTTATATACATGTACATATCCCCTCCTCACTTATCGACAGAGTTCCGTTCCTGAGACCACGTCGTTAAACGAATTTGTCACTGAGGAGCATACTATAATGGTAGTGGGTTTGTCAACCATCTTTGATATTATTTTAATGTCACCTTAGCACCATTTATAACATTTCTGGCATATTTTTCAGTGTTTATACAGTAGTGTACTGTATATTGAAATAAACAGAATAGAGGAAATCAACTCTAATATACACTATTTAGGGTAATATTTAGTGAAGGGATTCAGGGAAACCGGTTATTTTCATATAGTCGGACTTGAGTCCTGGAAATGGGAAGTACAATGCCTGCACTTTAAAGGAGGGTTTTGGGATATTGGCAGTTTGGAGGGATATGTTGTGTATCTTTATACGTATATGCTTCTAAGCTGTTGTATTCTGAGCACCTCTGCAAAAAGTGATAATGTGTGAATGTGGTGAAAGTGTTGAATGATGATGAAAGTATTTTCTTTTTGGGGATTTTCTTTCTTTTCTGGGTCACCCTGCCTCGGTGGGAGACGGCTGACTTGTTGAAAAAAAAAAAAAAAAAAAAAAGTATGAATACTGGTCAGAGCCCATTGTAAGTCCGAGGTGTTGTTTAGTATGTCGCTAAGTGAGGAGAGGATGGAAATATAAACACATATGCAGTATAATGTGATCCTTTATTGACAATGTTTCGCCCACACAGTGGGCTTTTTCAAGTCACAAACAGGATGTATTTACAAATGATTAATGTCAATCAATCTTTCCAGTGTCCGGAGCTAAATAACGAGTCTCTGTGGCATGATGATGCTTGTTCAAGAGAGCGAGCTGTTAATCTGTTAAATAACAAGCCTGATGGTACTTTCCTCATAAGAATGGCCCAAAATGGAGGATATGCTTTGTCAATTGCGTAAGTGTTACTCCCCACACAATGTGCACATTGAATCCCCTTCTAGGAGGGTGTCCTGATGCTGATGAAGGGCTCTTGATCAAAGAAATTATTTGCCTTGTCCCTCCCTCTGTATAAAACCAATTTGTCACATTCTCTAGGTGCCGTATGAGCCCAGTGGGTTTAGTTCTTCCTCATGATTGTAATAATCTTGTACAGTACATTTCTATTCATTCTCTTATTTTTTTTTTTCATCACTTCTGTTTTATTGGGGCTAAGACTTAATACATTGGACAGTTTCTCCCTCTCTTACCACTTCCCTCCCTCTTTCCCCCCCTCTCTTTGCTCCCTCTCTCTCTCTTCCCACTCTCTTTTTTTTTTTTTTTTTTTTTTTTTTTTTTTTACACAGGGTTTGACAAGGTTAAGGATCCCTAGTTTTATTGACAAGCTTTTTACAGGTTAAGGATTCCTAACTTTATTGACAAGCTAAGAGCTGTTACCTACATCAGCTCATTTGAAAGCATTTTTATTGTTATGAGACAAGTAGGGAACAGGATGAAGTTGGAGCCATCTGTGGGCCAGCGTTTTCATTTGATCAACTGACTTTATCTCGTTGACATCATTATGCTGTACAAATGTGTTCCATACTCGAGTCATCCTGGGTATATATGATCTCTCTTCTCACTCTCTCCTCTCTCTCTCCCCTCTCTCTTCTCTCTTCCTTCTTCCCTCTCTTCTCTTCCCTCCCTCTCTTCTCTCCTCCCTCTCTCTTCCCTCTCTGTTTTTCCTTTCTTCCCCCTCTATCTCTTCCCCTTTCTCTCTCTCTCTCTCTCTCCTTTCTTCTTTCCTCTTCTCTCATCTCTCTTTCTCCTCTCTTTTCTCTCCCCTCTCTCCTTCCCCACTTTCTCTTTCCCATCTCTTCCCCCTCCATTGACTTAACTTATTTTCCTTCCCCCTCTCCAACCTCTTTTCATTTCATCTCCCTTACCAGCTTTTTCTTCTCCCTCCCTCATTCTCTCTCTTTCCTCTCCCTCCAAAGAGGGAGGGGGGAAAGGGGTAGGGTAAGGGAAGAGGAAAATACTTTTCCTACCCTCTCTGTTTTGCTTTCCTACTTTCCCTTTTTCTGTCCTTTGTACCAATTTCTCTTTCTTCTCATATTCCCTTCCTTCCTCTTTCCTTGGTTCTCTTCCTTTTTATATGGTATGCTTCTTATAACTAAATAATTTTTATCTTAAAATGGGACTCATTTGCAGAAAAAAATTACTTAAATTTCATTAATTTTAAATAGACTACTACATTTATAAAATACTCAGTCATATTTCTACTGATGTAGTATATTGAGTTTACATTTATATGTGGTATTAGTTGACAATTAACTTCATCTTTGTCTGCTTTTTATTCGAGATACCCTGTGCTTGCTATAACCATTTATATTTTTCTCAGTATTTACTGATTATAGCATATATAAATTTTGTTACTTATACAGATTTTATGTTACAGGTGCAACAAGGAAGTGCAACACTGTAGGATATATGAAGGTGGGCATGGTTATGGGTTTGCTGAACCATTTTTGATCTATCCAACACTGCGAGATCTAGTTCTCCATTACTCTGAAAACTCGCTTCTAATGCACAATGACCTGCTCAATACACCTCTTAAATACCCAGCTCTAATGAACAGCTAGTGACAGCAATAAGGTTAGCATGGAACATGAAGCTTACCAGGTAATTGTTTAATTGGAACTTGGTATACGCAAGCTCCAACAAAGCTAACCTGCTGGTAAATCAGGCTTAGCTAAGTGAATTGAGGGCAGTGAGGTGGATTCAGTGATTGCCTGATTGCCAATGGAAATAGTTGTATATTTGGAGTGAACCTTTTCTCAGGAAACCAGTGACTGTTGCCAGGAGTGTCATGGATAAGTACAGTATATGCATTCTGCAAGATATGTGTGATGGCTTTAATATGCAGGACGTTTAAAACATTGGACATTGTCTGTTGCACCTCTGCACTTGGTGTTTAATGGCTGAAGGCCATTTTGTCCCTCTACACCTACTTACTACCAGACTTTTTCCAGTGGCTATACAATGCAGTCAGACAGATTTAAGTTATTATATTAAGAATATGGTATATACATATGCAATGTTAGCTGAAAGAAATCTGGTAGCAGACTTGTAGAGCCCCATTTTTTACTCTGTGGTACAAAATAGTTTCAGGACTAGCAAAGGCAAGTTGTTTCAAAGTGACGTATGTTGTCACATCCTACAGAGTTTAGTATCGAGTGATCAAAGTACGGGTAGTACCCCCCTTAAGAGAGGCTACCCACACATATGTTGTTTTCGTAGTGGCCAAAGACAATAATCCATTGCAAATATTTTGCTGTCTGCTTGATAACCTCCTCATAACCTATAGTTTATAAAATAGTTGATATTTTAAAGAATATTAACAGATAGGCTATACAGTGTTAATATTTGATACTACAAAATGTGCTGTGAAGGAATGATTCTTTGTTTCCAAAGATTGTCAAGATCTCCTATTCAGACAAAGGCTACAAGTGTTGGATATCAGTGTGTGATAAAAGTTACTGAGGTTAAGAGAAGTTGCTGCATTCCAGTTATGACTGAGCAGGATATATCCAGCATGTCTTTAACAGGTGACTACAAATCAGAAATAAAGACTTTTGCAAGTGTGATATAAGCATTAATAAACAAATTAGACCCATAAGTGCTGTAGCTAGAGATGATGACTTGGAACACTGGGGTATCCAAGTCAACTCTAGTCACCAGAAACCCCAAGCCACATGCTACACCATGCTTTGATTCATCATTTAAGGCTTTCATCTCATTTTTTTATAATTTTTAAGTATAAATATTTCTCGTACATTGTTCTAATCATCTATGCTCTGTTGACTTGCATATTGTACTTACATCTGTATGTATATTAGTTTGTGTGTGTGTGTGTGTGTGTGTGTCTTTATTGTATATGAATTGTATATATACTGTGTATATATAATAGGTATCTACATGTATGTTTATATACATACATATACAGTGGACCCTCGAGTAACTCCTGGGTTACGGTCCTGAAAATCAGCGCTTTATTCAAATCAGAGTTTAGCAAAATGAAGAACTTGGGGTTAAAAAATAGGCATATGCTACTTTGAAATACAAAAAAGGGGCTAGCAAATTTTTTTTTTATAATAGTTTGAAAAGTCAAAAGAAAGAACTTTGCCTTAAATTCTGGCTGCTATTGCTTGTTGATGTGCAAGTGTGTGAAGAGAGATGTGGTCCAGCACCTTACCTGTATCTAGATGGAGACAAATGGCCCAAAGTTCACAAGTGGAGAAAAATACACATATTGCATGGAAAAGCTTTATTGAGATGTTTTGCCAATGGAACATTCTCCAGTCATTATACAGGGATGCACAACAACAAAATTTAAACTAATGTAGTCAAGCAAGTGGCTGGGTCAGGGAGGTCATTGTGTGAGTGAGTTACAAAAGGACCAGTAAGCCTCCTGCAGTGCCTTGTCACAGTTCACCAACATGGTAACTGCAGTGACCAGCCATTCACCCAACTAGCATAAATTTACTTTTTGTGAGTTCCTGTGTATTGGCCGAAGATGCCTGTTCCACAGGCTGTTGTCTTTTTCTGTACCTGTACTTGTTGCTACTGTTCACCTAGCAGTAAATAGGTACCTGGGTGATAGCTGACAGCAGACTTGTGTTATCCTGAGTTACTAATGCAAGAGGTTAACAATTCAAATAAAATTATCTGCCCTTGACACTGATAAACCACATTGGAATAAATGTGGCAGTGTACAATTCCTGGACAAACATCACTTACCAACACCTGCCCTCAGTATTTGGTAAATAAGCCAAAGTGAAAGAGGAGTAATAGGTCTGTTATGTAGTCAGCTGCATTGTTTAAATCTATTAAACCGACCAGGACTATATGTATACCCTTGTGAAGGCTTTCCATCCTTCTTATAATTTTATTGAAATTATTAACCTGAAGGGCTAGCAACCCAGGATACCCAATAAAGCCATTTTGGTCAGATTATCTGACTATGATTTCATTGGACTGATGACATTTTTGTAGATAAGGTTTCCTGCCTTATTTGACCACTAAACAGCTTCACCCACTGGTGTGGAGGGAAAATTTCTTGCTACTGCTCGCTGACTGCAAGCCCACCAGTGGTTACTGTGCGTCCATAGGAGGTTATAAGTTTTTCATTAATGGCATGTTGCTGAATTAGTGCTATCAGGTAATATTTTCTATAGATTTGGTTTGCATGTATGTGTGTGTGATATATGTATGTATATAACACACACACACACACACACACACACACACACACACACACAAAACACACACGCACGTGCACACACACACAAAACACACACACACACACACAAAACACACACACACACACAAAACACACACACACAAAACACACACACACACAAAACACACACACACAAAACACACACAAAACACACGCGCGCACACAAAACACACACACACAAAACACGCACACACACAAAACACACACACACACAAAACACACACACACAAAACACACAGTATGGATCATGCATCTCATTATATTTATGAACACTGTCTTCCACTAAGTAATAACTGTGTTTGATGGGTCAGCCATGGGTTAGTAAATACATTATTTTAGCTTGGATCACCTGCTACTTAATGATCTGATTTGCTGCAGAACTAGTCTCTTAAATAAATTATAAAAAGCTGCATAGCTGAAAGGATCCTAAATTTGCCTGTGTGCTTTGTAATTTATCATTTCACAGTTGAGAGACTGTGTGTTTCATTTTTCATAAATCATCTAGCCACCTCTCCTCATTATTACATGTCCTCTGAACCATTGTTATATACTGTATATATACATATATATTTTATATTATAAAAAGTTAGGCAACAAATGGTTTAGGACTGCCATAGAAGAGACACGTCTTGAACCCAGTGAAGTTAGTGGGCAGGTGGTATGAGGGTTGGTAGCTGCACAATGTGATACTGTGGTGTGTGGCTTGGGCAGTTGTGTGCCAAGGCAGGTAGTCATGACTTGGCCACGCAACCACTACCCCTCCCTGTCGCTTGTCACCCTTCCTCCCATGCTACACAGGGAAAAATAAGTCAATAAAGTGCTCTTTGGTCATTAGTGTATTTATTAAATCCTCCATTATATTGTGCAGTCATTAAAGTTAAATGTTCTAGATTATGTTAGTGATTAATTTTTGTTAAGAGTTGCTGATTGTTAAAAGCAGTTGATTTTTCAACTCCATTATTTTCCCCCCTCTTCCATTGATTAGGGCCAACTTGATGTTTAAGGTTAAAGGAAATTTGGGTTCTACAATGTGTTGACTATTAATGAAGTTCTTTGGAGGGTTATCCATACTAAGCAGATCTCTGAACTGTGACCAGAGAAAAGATTCCTAAGCAGTAATAATAATGCAGTATTCATAATTGAAATCAAAGGCTCGCTCTAGGTTTTGAATATTAAAAAAAATATTTTTCTTAGATGCAATAATTTCTGACCATGGCACCATTGCCTTGTAATGGTGCCATAAATAGATCTTATCATTAATACTAAAGCATAAGAAACGTGTTCCTTTCGTTGATCCTTCACCTTTTGATTGACTTGGCTACCCATACCTACAGAATGCTTTCAAAAGTCAATGCCCCTGCTGCTAGGCTCCATACTAGGCCTCTCACTGGGTTAAAACCTGATCATCCAAGTTGTTACCCCTGGCTGCATACAATCCATCATACAAACCACAGCACAGATGGTCAGGAACTGATTTAAAAAACTTGTCCAGTTCCCTCTCAACAACCAGAGGTTTGTTGGTAATTCCCCTTATGCATGTAGGGAGGACGTTGAAGAATTCAGATCCTCTGACACTAGTTCTTTTAATGTAATTGTCACTCCTCTGCTTTTTATTAGAAGTACTTTGCACTGTCTGCCATTTCTTTCAAGCGAATGTTTCCAGTGTGTACATTTAGGAACAGTTCCTCCAGGATTTTCCAGGTGTAAATTATGATGCACCTTTCTTGCCTACATTTGCAAGGAATACAGATAAAAGGACTTAAGCATTCCCAGTAGTCGAGGCATAGTACAGTAGAACCCCTGTATCCACTGATTCAGTATTTGCAGTTTCAGTTATCCACAATTTACTGTGGCCCAAAAATACCTCTTAATTTTGCATAATAATAGCACCAAAATGAAAAAGTAGAGAAGCTGGCAGTTCTTCAAAGCCTAACAGCAGCCGTGAAGTGCTTTTCATCAGTGAAAAAGTGATACTTCTGCACTTGTTATGCATAATTTATCAATTAAACTTACTATTATAATAGGTATGTATAGGACTTGTATATATGGTTTTCTACTAGCCATGGTTTCGGTATCCACGGCAGGTTCTTGGAATGTATCCCCTACGGGTACGAAGTCCTACTGTACATGTATGTGACGTGCACTTCCATCCTGAACTGCTAACTATATCAGTTGACTCCTTTTGCCCATTTACCTAGTGGTAAGCAGCATCAAAGAGTTAGCTAACTGTTGTGGGTTGCATCTGGAATTTTAGCTTTAGATAGGGCAGTGGTTTGAAATGGGCTGAGGTAGGATAACTGCTCTTAGCTTGAAAATTCAAGTTGAAACAAACACATTTGTTGTTGATAGCAAACTGATGATTAGGACAGCAAATTTCATGTTCAGAATATTTAATAACTAAGCCCTCCATCAGCACTGTATGACCCATACAGAGTTAGCATTTGTTTTTAATACTGTTTTTTATAATTACAGCTTCACTTAAGGAAAGTTCCTTGATGCTGGTGAAGGGCTTCTAATCTATTAGGCCTGTGCTCTCCTTCCTTGAATCAAACCTCAATGCCTTCCATTTCTGCAGACTCTGTATGACCCTACAAGTTTAGCAATCCATGCAAATATAATATTGTAGTAATACATGGAATTACAAAGTCCTTTAAACACGCTTCCTCCCTCCTCACTCTGGTAGCAGGGATTAGAAAGCAACTAGAATGCTTGACCAAGAACTCAGCATCATATTATTCATTATTAAGGGGAAAGATTTTCCTATTCAGGTTTTGCAGTTGTGTGATTCAAGTCTGATTTACACTTAACCATACTGGATGTTACTCTACACAAACCTCTATTCTTTATATCATGAGGTGAACAGTATCTCTCCTGGCACCTGGAAAAGATGCAAAAGCCTTCTAATGTCTGTATCTGTTTGTTTGAGGTTTTTTAAGATGTCTATCAGTGGTAAGTGCCTGGTAATGCACCATGCCATCTCATAACTAAAGTAAGTAAACTACCTTATGACATAGTGTTGCACGACTCGTACAAGTTTATCACTTTTTTTTTTTAATAGCAACGACATTTTTTACTTTTTTAATATGTCAGCCATTTCCCGATGAGGCAGGGTGACCCAAAAAGAAAGAAAGAGAAAAAAAAAGCAGCTTTCATCCTCATTCAACACTTTTGAAAAGTTGTAGATATTTTTTTTTTTTTTAACTGGCTGTATCCCACCAAGGCAGGGTGGCCCAAAAAGAAAAACGAAAGTTTCTCTTTTTAAATCTAGTAATTCATACAGGAGAAGGGGTTACTAGGCCCTTGCACTTGGCATTTTAGTCGCCTCTTACAACACGCATGGCTTACGGAGGAAGAATTCTGTTCCACTTCCCCACGGAGATAAGAGGAAATAAACAAGAAAGAAGAACTAGAAAGAAAACAGAAGAAAACCCAGAGGGGTTTGTAAATATATGCTTGTACATGTATGTGTAGTGTGACCTAAGTGTAAGTAGAAGTAGCAAGATGTACCTGAAATCTTGCATGTTTAAGAGACAGAAAAAAACACCAGCAATCCTACCGTCATGTAAAACAATTACATGATTCCGTTTTACACTCACTTGGCAGGACGGTAGTACCTCCCTGGGCGATTGCTGTCTACCAACCTACTACCTACAAAATTGTACATATGCTTTTTAAATAAGATTAGTTAATTATTATGTATTTGCATGTCCTGAATTCAAACATCACCTTGAAAAATGCTTATTGGCTATAGGATTAACCCCTTGAGGGTCGGTCACGTACTGTACTTACATGCGTAAATTCTATGCCTTCAAAGCTGGTGGAAGAAAACTGGTAGGTCTGCATATGAGAAAATGGGTCTGTGTGGTCAGTGTGCACGCAGTGCATAATGAGAAAAAAAAAATTGACCATGGTTTTGGTTTAAAACAGCGACTTTGCAGTGTATATATTTTTGTGTGGTATTTATGGTCGTACAGTGGACCAAGTTAGAGTATGTAGGAAAGAGGGAAATTATTTCCCAGTAAAAGTAGGCCTTAGACAAGGATGTGTGATGTCACCGTGGTTGTTTAATATATTTATAGATGGGGTTGTAAGAGAAGTAAATGCGAGGGTCTTGACAAGAGGCGTGGAGTTAAAAGATAAAGAATCACACACAAAGTGGGAGTTGTCACAGCTGCTCTTTGCTGATGACACTGTGCTCTTGGGAGATTCTGAAGAGAAGTTGCAGAGATTGGTGGATGAATTTGGTAGGGTGTGCAAAAGAAGAAAATTAAAGGTGAATACAGGAAAGAGTAAGGATATGAGGATAACAAAAAGATTAGGTGATGAAAGATTGAATATCAGATTGGAGGGAGAGAGTATGGAGGAGGTGAATGTATTCAGATATTTGGGAGTGGACGTGTCAGCGGATGGGTCTATGAAAGATGAGGTGAATCATAGAATTGATGAGGGAAAAAGAGTGAGTGATGCACTTAGGAGTCTGTGGAGACAAAGAACTTTGTCCTTGGAGGCAAAGAGGGGAATGTATGAGAGTATAGTTTTACCAACGCTCTTATATGGGTGCGAAGCATGGGTGATGAATGTTGCAGCGAGGAGAAGGCTGGAGGCAGTGGAGATGTCATGTCTGAGGGCAATGTGTGGTGTGAATATAATGCAGAGAATTCGTAGTTTGGAAGTTAGGAGGAGGTGCGGGATTACCAAAACTGTTGTCCAGAGGGCTGAGGAAGGGTTGTTGAGGTGGTTCGGACATGTAGAGAGAATGGAGCGAAACAGAATGACTTCAAGAGTGTATCAGTCTGTAGTGGAAGGAAGGCGGGGTAGGGGTCGGCCTAGGAAAGGTTGGAGAGAGGGGGTAAAGGAGGTTTTGTGTGCGAGGGGCTTGGACTTCCAGCAGGTATGCATGAGCGTGTTTGATAGGAGTGAATGGAGACAAATGGTTTTTAATACTTGACGTGCTGTTGGAGTGTGAGCAAAGTAACATTTATGAAGGGGTTCAGGGAAACCGGCAGGCCGGACTTGAGTCCTGGAGATGGGAAGTACAGTGCCTGCACTCTGAAGGAGGGGTGTTAATGTTGCAGTTTAAAAACTGTAGTGTAAAGCACCCTTCTGGCAAGACAGTGATGGAGTGAATGATGGTGAAAGTTTTTCTTTTTCGGGCCACCCTGCCTTGGTGGGAATCGGCCAGTGTGATAATAAAAAAAAAAAAAAAAACAGTGGACCCCCGGATTACGTAGTCATTGGATTTCATAATATTCGGGATAAGTAACGTTTTTTCAACAAAATATTGGCTTGGTGATTGTCACTGAACTCTGTAATAGTCATTCGTTCCGAACGTGCCCGTGTGCCGACACACCATTTACAGCCAGTGTGCTATTGTTTATCAGCCAGTGAGGACGATCCCACACGTTCATACAATACATTTTGTATTGTTCCATTCTTTTTAGTGCCTGCAGCTGCTAAATAAGTCACCATGAGCCAAAAGAAAGCTCATAGTGCCAGACCTTTGGGAAAGAAGGCAATAAACATGATAGAATTCAAGAAAGAACACACCAGCCAGGGTACTTCCCCACCCACCAGACAGGGTATATCCCCCAACACACGCACGATTTGATTTGAGTGGGACTTGCGCATGAGTGAATAGAATTATCAAAGCTCATTGCTTGGGAAGCATTGAAAATTGGGTTGGGCAAATACGATTCTGTTAGTGGGATGGTTTGTGAAGAACCTGCCTAGTATGGGCCAACAGGCCTGTTGCAGTGTTCCTGCTTTCTTATGTTCTTATGTACACCAGCTGAGGAAATTGCTTCAGAGGAGGAGAGAGAGGAAAGAAGGTG